GCCATCAGATCTGGAAAGGCTTCTAGCTCCACCTCTTTGGTCTGCAGAGGAAGACTTGGAGGTGCAGAGTGGCAAGGGAATTGCCTCCATCACAGCAGTGCCCTGTCTCATGCACCACTGGGCTCACAGGTAGCCACTTCATCAATGTTTGCCTGCTCAAGATCTGTTGGGCTTGCAAACAGGATGCTTGCCCTGGTGAGTGTGACCCAGTGGATTGGGCAACAGCCTGCAAACCATGTGGTCACCAGTTCAATTCCCAGACAAGGCACATGCCTGGGTTGAGGACCAGGTCCCGAGAGGGGAGCACATGAGGGACAACCACAGATTGATATTTCTCTCCCTCTCTTTCTCCCTCCCTTCCCCTCTGACTAAAAATAAATAAATAAAATCTTTTATTTTAAAGAAAGAAAACAGGAAGCTTGTGTTAATCTGAGAGTGAAGAATTGTCAACTCCTCCCATGAGGTGAAGAAGAAAATTTCACTCATTCGTTCATTAATTCATTCATTCATTAAATATCTACACTGTGCCCTCAACCTTCCAGTAAAGGGGTAAATAGGAGAGATCTAGACCTTTCCTTTGAGAACAGCAACATCTGATTGGGAGACAGGTAGGTTACCTGACACCTCCAGCTCTGCAGGATGGGTGGCTGTGATGGGGGAGGCACAGGCTAGGCCTGTGTGCCCCTTTCCTTCTGAGGACTGGAAGGTGAGTTCTCAGCGAGAAACAGACAGTGTGGACAAGATAGGGACTCTCAGGCAGTCACAAGGGACATCCAACCTGCAAGTGATCATGGGAATTACTGGGCTCAGGTGGGGTGTTCTCAATCCCACCACTCTCCCACTGTGCTGGAGATACTTCACCAGCTACCCAGTTAGGTGCTGCTTCTGACCAAAACCACCTCTGGCCCAGCAGTGGTCTGTCCACCGCCCATAGGGGGCGCTCTGTCTGCCTAGATCACAGGGTGCCTCCTGGGGATAGCTAGCTAAGGGTGGTGGTGCTATCCCTGGTGCTAGACAGAGCTGAGGCAGGAAATGGTGTGTTTCAGGCTGCAGCGTGCATAAGTTACTATGCTGACTATTTACCATCTACGCCAGTGTAAGATCAACTTGACTGGGCCATGGGCTGCAGAGATTAAACATCACTTGTGGTTTCTCTGAGGGTATTTCCAGGTGAGATTAGAATATTAAATCTGTGCACTCAGCAAAGTGAAATGCCCTTCCCTAGTGTGGGTGAAAAGAATATTCAATCCACTGAGGGCCTAAACAGAACTAATAGCAAACTCATATGTGTGTATAGTGTTTACGTGATTATTTTTCACATTTTCATTTTCAACACAGTTAAAAAAATGTGTTAAAGACATGTTCTCTTCCCCTTCTTTCTTAGTCAGTGTTTGGGGCGTGGATGCTGCTTTCAGTCCACTTCTTTGAGACCTAAGTGTCAGAAGTGGAGTGACCATGAGGGGAGAGAGAAAGGGTGCAACTCACATAGGGTTCACCAGACACTTCCTGGGGTCCAGAACTCTACTGTCTCTTCTGAGACTCTGATGAATGCTGGGGCTCTCTCCAACACCCCAGAGATGCATCTTCCACTGGGGTTGTGCCAGAACAAGAACTCATAACAATATAATGGTAGGTGCTAAGGTCAGGAAAACCTCAACACTGAACCAATGATAAATAAAGCATCTTGTCTTGGAAGTCTTTTCATTAACTTCATTCAGGTGTGTTCACTCATATGACTGGGATGATGTGTCTATTCGGGAAACTCAGTGAAAATTATTGGGTTTTCTCAGCCTAACATTTCTCCTATACTCCTGGTTTCAGAGAAAAAGTTGAATCTTCAGGATCAGGAAATTTTCACTGTCATACTACATTTTCCTGTTGTCTGACTTCATGTAGGAGTGCACTCTTTCTTCATTTTCCTGTTTGGATGTTGCTGGAGAAAGTTTGGCTCCTTTTACTCAACCATTATGACTTCATGTAATGCATGATGGGTCACAGTGCTTCTAGCATCAGAGCAAGCTATGGGCAGAAACTTGCTTTTTCAAGGGATAAGCAACCTGCACACAGTGAACACACACCTTGTATGAGGCCATGTATACAGGGCTTTCCAAGTGTCACAACACCCTTGTGAGGTGGGGTTGGTCTCCTCTCATTAACAGCACAGGAAACTGAGGTAGAGAGAGGTGAAGTGGCTGGTGTTCTGGTTGTCATGCTCTTACAAGCAGAGAAATTAGGACTCCATTTAATTTTTCCAGTTCTTAAGCCCCATTACTGTTCACAGCTAAGACTATCCATGACATCATTTATAACCCAGTAACTAGAGGAGTATTTACCTCATAAGAATCAGTGCCTGAAGTCTTCCTTTACCAGAGAAGCTCTGGGCTCCTGGGACAAGATGGCTTTGAACCTCTGAGTACAAGGTGCTGAGACCACATCTCTTGGCCTCCAAGACTTTACCTTATGAAAGCTGAGGGAACTTAGATGGAGCACTGGAATTCATCATGATTTGATCAGGGAGACTTGTGGGCACAACCCTGACTCTGAGAACATGAGACATCCTATGTATGAGCTCCTCCTTCCCATCCTGTGCTCATACAAACCCAGCTCTGCCCTGAGGTGGCAGAGGCCCCAGTACCAGCTAGTCCCAACCAGGAAAGGTTTTTTTCTCACCTGTACTGTATTCTTGAAAGGTGTGATATTCAGTTGTGTGGAGTATTTGACACATAAATGTAAAGTTCTTCTTTAGTCATTAAAGGTGTAATAGGTGTTGGCTTCACCCACATCTAAAGCCACAAAAATAGCAGAGGTAGGTTCTGGAATTCCTGCTGTCCCTCTCCTCAGTCTGTTCCCCAGGAACCAGGCATTGAGTGTCCCACACCATGAGCTGTCCTGGGACTGCCTACTGTGCTCAGGGCCCAGAAGGTCCTGGCCCCATACTCATAGGAGACACTGAGCTGGATGGTTTTCTGTCATCACACAACCTTTAGGAATCATTATGCATAAAATAGTTGATGCCCAATTCTTGTCCTGGTGGGCTGATGATGTAAAAGTGTTTTGTCTCTGAATACCCCTCATTTGCTCTGATAGAGTAAACTCTCCCCTCCTTCCAGCCTTATGGTGAAACAATTTGCTGTAATCAGTGAAGGTGGCCCAGCATAAAGGGATTGCCTGTCCTCCCACTGCAGACAATAGACCTAATGGGATCCAGGCACCTGAATGGTGCTGTTTGTGGTGCTGAAATAGTGCCAGGTCCTGAACTCAAAGATCACCCAGCTATGAAAGGGGTCTGACCTCTCTAGCATAAGATCCAAGTTCAGGGGTGGTGAAAAATGGGTGCCTGCCTAAGAGGAAGGGGTGTGGGGACACGTGAACTCTCTTATCAGTAGGCTGGTGTTCCCTTATCCTTCTCTCTGCTCCCTATGTTATCCACAATGATCCTTCTTCATGTAGTTATTCTGAGTTGGAGTGGGGCATAGTTTCAGGGTTGAGATGAAAATTGCAGTGTGGCTGCATGGACTTCATTTAAGGAGAAGTTTTCAGGGAAAACCCAGCACATCGAGGAGACACTCTCCTGGGGATTGATTGAAAGGGGTTGCTCAGGGATGCAGAAGGACCAGGGAGGACAGGTTTTTGTAGGCAGGACAAAGAGAATCAGGAAGTAAAGGGAGCCCAGAGTGGCCCTTCACTTGTGGATGAGGAGGCCACAGGTGTCCATGAGGAGGTGGTTTTAGTCAAAGAGAGGAAATAAAACAAGCAGCAGGTGATGAAGAGAGAGGAGGCTTCTAATGCTGCCTCTGGAGCTGCAGGCACCCCACTCCCACTATGGCCTCAGACAGAATAAAGGGAAGCTCTGTGCAGCCCAGTTCAGTATGAGCTCCAGGAAGTCACGGGGGACAGGCTGCATTTGAGGGCATCCGAGTGGCTTCAGAGGGGGCAGAACACTTCCCTGTTGGTCCTGGTGTACCTTCTTTGCTTTATAACCTTTAACTAATTCTTTTGAGATCATGTGGCCAGGAATGACCCAAAAGCACAGAAACTTATTTATAAAAATAGAGTATTTATTCTTACATGTTCAAACTTCAGTCACCTTCAAATTACTCTCCATTAGATGCAACACACTTATTGAGACTATTTTTCACTGCTTGGAACAGTATTTGAACTTGTCTACTTTAAAAGCCTTTAGTGCTTCTGCCTTTTTTTGTTACACCTTTTTCCATAAGCAATACATCTCCTTTTAAGGACTGTTTTCAAGAGACAACAACAAAAAAGAATTACTCAGGGAAAAATCAGAAGAATAGCAATGGGATGGTAGGAGGGTCATGCCATTTTTGGTCAAAAGCTGCTGAAAACTCAGCACAGTGAGGGCAGGTGCACTCATAAATCACCCATCAGGAAATGGGAAAATGCACTGAAAGAGTCTTCAAGAAAGTTCGCTGTATATAGTCTCTCACAACACCACCACGTGGTGCACTGAAACAGGTGGGTTTCTAGAACCCTCACCTAGTGGTGGAAGCCTGTAGTACAAAGGCCTTCCCTCCAGAAGATAATTCCATTTTGGGGGGTCCCCTCATATGACATATTATTACTAAATACACCCTGTACTTTCAGGAAACAAACCAATCTTCTTTCTCACCATCATCAGGAGTTTGCTCAAACATCAGAGTTCATACTCTCAGATGCCCCATACTATACCCTCATGCCACCTCATGTTTGCCTTGCATGTTTCCTCCCTAAACACATATGGCCATTCAGCATGCTCTAATAATTTTATTTCTTTATTTGCATCCTTTTTGTCTTCAGAATGACAGCTTCTGGATGAGAGAAACTTTTGATGCTGGGTTCATGGTGGCATCCTCAATACCTATGATAATGCTTACACCTCCTAGGTATTCAGTTATCCTTGATAAGGGATCTCTAAATACATGGCTAATTATTGTTTCTTTCAAAGCCATCCAGGATTCTCACACACATGAACACATACACACGTAACATGAGTTGACTTTTAATTGATTGCAGTAATGGTCAGCCCTTGGAGATGTAGGAAAGGGAAGGGCATTTCAGCAGAAGGAACTGCACCTGCAAAGTCTCAGGGACACAAAGGCCCTGGCATGGCTGGTGTGAGATGGTGTGAGATTCAGGGACATGGAGGAATCTGGTAAAACGTCCACCAGGAAGCAGGAGTCATACCAGGTCTTCAGCCAGCCCATGCTGATTGCACCTCATCTCGGGCCATAGAAAAGAAAGGCTGCTGTTCAAACTTGGCAGGAAGTGGATGGTGAGTCTCAGGCAACATAATCTGGAGGTACAAGGTGGGTATGTTTGAGGCTCAAGGAGGAGAGGAGGCCACAAGCACTACAAAGGTCATGACATGGAGCAGACGGCATCAATTTGAGCTGCTACTACAAAGAAGGATGGACAAGTCTTAGTGACTTCCTGGAATGGGGAGAAGAGATGGAGGGCAAAGTGGAGAAATGCCACACAGACGTGGTTTCAGAAAAGGCAGCCACCTAGTCATCACTGTGATGCTGACCTGAGCAGAGAAGTGCATCTGGGGACCAATGTAACAGCTCAAGTTTCGCAATGCTGAGTGGAGGAATTCCAGGGACCATCCAGGAGGAGGTATCAGAGGGATGTTGAGGGTGGTGAGGCACCTACCATACTCACCTGAGAGATTAACTTGAGACAGTGTTGGCTTTCTCCATGTACTGTGTGGGCCTTGTCACCTTCCTCAAGTGGTACCTGACCCAGAGAGAAGAGATCAAGGTCTTTCAGTCCAGTTGGTTTGGGCTACAGTGGGCAGCAGACCCAATCCCCTGTTCTCTGTCAAGGAAATGGAGGGAGACTGAAGTACGAGAGGGCTGCTCTGGCCCCACAGATTGTGTGGAGCCCAGCAGGTACCTCCCAGTCAGGACCCTCACAGTGGCTCTCCATGGTGAGTCCTCACCCACCAACGCTTAACTCAGGATAGCCCCATCCCTGATTGTTTGGGATCCCCAGCTCTGCTTCTGGACTCAGCCACATACCCCTGTCCCCCTCTCACCTTGCTACCCCCTGGGGCAGAGCTCACATGAGGATGATGAGGCAGAGGAGGAAGAGCAGGATCTTGACAACAGCTTCCATAATGACCACCAGCACCACCACTGCCATGAGCCGTGATTTTGCTACAAGAAAGAGGTTGTGGACAAAGTCACCTTCAGGACCACAATCCTGGGTCCTTCCCCTCTCACTAGGAATCTGGAGGTCACCTTCCTGCATCACTGGATTCAGATCATGTCTACTCTGACCCCTGACCCTGCCCTGACCTTCAGCAGTTCCACAGAAAATAAAAGGCCTAAGTTGGAATTCAGCAAAATAAAACATTCCATTCATTAATTAACACTATGGACAAAGTGGAAAGCCAACCTGTTTAACAGGAAACATGTTCACTAATCATTGAATTGATAAGGATTAGTATCTCCAGTGCACATAAAGAACTCTTACAACTCAACAACAAAAATTCAAATGAGGCTTCCAGTCAAGATGGCGGCATAGACAGACATGGCTCCCCTCTTTGCATAACCACATCAAAATTAAAACTAAAATATAGAAAAACATCACTCAGAACCATCAGAATCAAGTTAAATGGAAGTCTGACAAATACAGAATTAAAGGAACCACATCCATTCAGACTGGTAGGAGGTGCACAGACGTAGAAAAGCTGTTCTCTTATCCATGTGTATCACATAAACATTCCAGAGGGATATCTCAGGAACAAGAAAACCTAGCCCCACACCAGGCCCCCCAGTCTAGGGTTCCAGTGCCACAAAGGTAAGTCCCCACGACTTCTAGATGTAAAAACCAGATGGAATTGCATCAGTAGAAGAAACTGCTGGATCTCTAAGCACTTCCTCTTAAAGAACCTACACATGCACTCATCTACTCTGACTCACTGCCTCTGAGCTCAAGTGCCAGGGTGGCCCCTAGAAATGCCCAAGCACCCTACTGGGAGAGGCTAAATTGTCTGGCATCAGGGAAAGTAAAGGCCATTGTTCCTTTTCTGAGCCTTCCCCACAGTGATCTACAGTGCCAGCAGGCTGTTGCCATATCTGAGACTCCATCACCAGGGCTAACACTGTTAGACCCACCTTGGAGACCTCCAGAGACTCTGTCCTATCCAACCTATGGGTCCACCCAAGCTGCTTTTTCATATGAATGGCTGGCCTTGGCTCATGCTTCACAACTTTCTAAATGCTATCAAACAAGCAACAGCTGGCTTCAGTGAGCCCCAGGCCTAGCACTAGCAGCAGCCAGATTAGATTCACACCTTGGTTTCACCTGGGAACCTCCAGGCCCAGCACAAATAACAGCCTTCTCAGATTGCTTCATAGCCCAGGAAGGGTAGCCACAGGCAAAACACAAGTGGGTGCTGACCTTGGCCTGTACCATCTGGAATATCCCAAAGCCAGTGCACCCAGTGGACAGCTACAGACTACACTGGAGTTCCACCATCCTGCCCCTGCACAGCTGATCCTCCACAGAGGGTGGAAGTTTGTGGTAAGTGATTACAGCCAGTCCTTGCAGCTAACTGACCTGGGTAAATTTCTCCCAGTGATCTGCCAACAGCAACCAAGGTTCAACTACAAGAGGAGATTGTACTCAGCTCACACAAAGGGCACACCTCAAATACTAAGTTTCAGTGAGAGGGGAGGCTGTGCCACTGGACCCTACAAAAACCCTACTATATTAACCACACTACCAAGACATGAAGCCAAAGCAATTCTACCTAAAACATAGAAACAAACAGAGAAAGGCTGCCAAAATGATGAGGCAGACACAGCACCACTTATAAGGATGCTCAAGGCACTTAGTGAGGACCTCAGCACCATAAAGAAGATCCAGTCAGAAATGAAGGATTCAGTCATTGAAATAAAGAACAATTTACAGGGGAACAAAAGTAGAGTGGATGAAGCCAAGAATCAAATCAATGATTTGGAACATAAGGAAGCAAAAGAAAACAACCAATCACAAAACAAGAAGAAAAAAGAATCTAAAAAAATGACAGTGGTATAAGCAGCCCCTGGGACAACTTCAAGACGTCCAACATTTGCATCATAGGGGAGCCAGAAGGACAAGAAAATAGGCAAGAACTTAGAAATCTATTTGAAAAAATAATGAAAGAAAACTTCCCTAAATTGGTGAAGGAAATAGACATGTAAGTCCATGAAGCACAGAGTCTCAGCCAAATAGGACCCAAAGAGGAACACACCAAGACACATCATAATTAAATGCCAGGAATTAAAGATAAAGAGAGAATCTTATAAGCAGTGAGAGAAAGGCAGAGAGTGATTTACAAATGAATTTCCATAAGAGTACCAACTGAATTCTTTAAAAACTTTACATATAAGAAGGTGCTGGCAAGAAGTAATCAAAGTGCTAAGAGCAAGGACCTACAACCTACATTTCTCTATCCAGCAAAGCTATCATTTAGAATGGAAGGACAGATAAAGTGCTTCCCAGACAAGGTAAAGCTAAAGGAATTCAACATCATCAAGCTATTATTACATGAAATGTTAAAGAGACTTACTGAAAAAGAAGAAGAACATCAAAATTATGAACATTAAAATGCCCACAAACTCACAGCTATCAACAACTAAAATGAAAAAAAAAAAACTAAGCAAACAATCAGAACAGGAACAGAATGACAGGTGTGAGGATCATTTGTAGGGTTATATGATGGGAGGGGGAGAGGGAAGAAAGGGAGAAATGATGCAGGGATCATGACACATAATTGGTAGGCCCAAAATAGGCAGAGGGAGGTTAAGAATATACAGGAAAGAGAGAAGCCAAAGAACTTACATGCACAACCCACAGACAGGATCTAAGAGGAGGGATTGCCAGAGGGAAGGGAGGCATCAGATGGAGGGGAGCAAAGGGAGAAAATTGGGATAACTGTAACAGCATAAAGAGTAAAATATACTTAAAATGGAAAAAAGTCAAACAAACCAATTAAAAATGTGTAAAACACTTGAAAAATGTTTCCTTCAAAGATGATGCAGAAATGAACAATTATTTACAAGAAAACAAATGCATTGTTTTTTATTGCAGAAATGCAAACAAAACCACAGTGATACAGCCCTTCCCTGGTGGGAATGTGAAATGGTGCTGCCACCATGGAACACAGTCGGGAATTCCCTCAAAGTTCACCCATACAAACTACAATTTGACTCAGCAATTCCACGCCCAGGTACATGGCCCAAGAAAACAGAGAACATGTGCAAACAGATGAAAAGTGACAGGAAGGGAACAGAGAGGGGGCTTGTGGGAAAAGGGGAAGAGACAAGACAAAAAAATGTATGAGTGACCAAGGACAAGGATTACAGTGTAGGAATTAACTGTTGGAACAGGGGATAGGAGGGAGACAGGAGAGCACGGGGGGCAGGGAGAATCAGGACAACTGCAACAGAAAAACAATAAAGAAATGAAAAGAATAGTTAAGGAACATTCACAGCAGCATTATCACAGCCAAAGAGGGGAAACACCCAAATGTGCATCAACTGGTCAATGGAAGAAGTGGAAGTGGTACATCCATACAATGCAAAATTATTCACTTTTGCATTCTTTATTTAAAAGAAATACTACATTGTGGAAATACTGCTCTTGA